CATATGAGAATCATTCAGCTATAACAATAAAACCTGCATCCACAATGTGAGCCCATCATTAATGGGTATAGCAAACCAATAATATTTTTTCAAGGATTCATATGCAGTTGTATAAACTATATCTTACAGAGAGAACATAAAATCAATTAATATCTTACACATAGTCCCCAGAATTCCATATCACTCATACTCCAACCTTGTGGTGGACTTTCATCATCATATTTGGCGACCTGTTGCCAATACCTGGACCCTTCTTGAACTTATCCAGGAATTATAACTCCATCTTTCCTTTTTTTCCCAATAATATAGCCACACACCATCAGGATAGAAGGGTTGCGTCTAAATGCAGGGAAGCATTAATCATGTTCTCTCTGTAAAATATACTGTGTATAACTGAAAAATTGAATGCTGTTCCAGGAAACGCACTGGAGGAAAGATCACACGAGCAGAGAAAAGAAAATATGCTTTGGAAGAAAGATCTACATCCTCAGTAATGTGAACTATATATTGTTTATATATATTTGGAATGGTCATCCATGATCTGTTAATGTGAATTATATTCAACCAAATACCTTTTAGATGTATAGTGATATCTGATCATATTTCATATTCATCAATTGAAAAATAAAAACATTTTTACTAATGTGTTTATTGTTGTTGGATCTATACACCTAAATATTCCTGTTTTGTTTTTATTTTTGGTGTATTTAAAAGAAAAGTATGGGCTCCCCCCTGCCCCCCCCCAATTATACTTACCTAGGTAGATCCTGAATCTGTCCCCTGCCAGCTCTAAGTGTGAGTTCTCACAGCCACTGTGAGCAGTGATTGGTGACTGTCAGTCACCGCTGTCTGCTCTGTCATCCCCCACCCCTCACGCACTCACTGGGACGCTGGGTTGTGGAGAGTGAGGGAGCGGCTGACTCAGACACTCAGCGGCTTTAAAGTCGGTATCTTTCCTCAGCCTGGACAGGCTTAGTGACGTCAGCTGACAGCAGGCTTCAACCCACTGTCAGCTGAAAATAGGTCATAGGAGTGCAGAACGAACTGCACTCCTGTGATCCACAGAAGAACAGCCAAAAGAGCTATGGCTGTACTTCTCCTTTTAAGCTTGGGATATGGTGTGAAATACTTGTGATATTTCCTCCAAGCACATTACTTTAACCTTTATTATAAAAGTTTATAATAAGATGTCAAAACAGTACACAAAAAAAACCTTCAAAATCACACCTCACCATTTCCTTCCTTTCTCTGTATCCCTTGGTTATTCCCAAATGCTCACAATATATACACTTCAGGTATGGGATTGGTAGAAACTGGCTAGCATCAGGACAGCACATGAACACTTCAAAAGGCAATAAACAGAAAGAGCTGTACAGTGTGTGGCTTTGTTTAGCATATCTTGGGCTGACAACACCCTTGTAGTATGCAGTCTCTGCCTGCAGCATTAAAGTAACAGCCATTGGGCTACTACTAGGGATGAGCTATTGGTTTGGTTCAAACACAAGTTCAGATGATATCTTTCTAGTAGGGGGGTTCATGCAAACACTAGACTTTTAGCTTGGTCTAAAGGAGCCTAACTTCATATATAGTAATAGGATTTTCTCCAACTACTATATTTGACAACTTTCTTTTTTCCGCTGTCAATATCTGTTAAGGAAATGGTGGGTGCCTGCACACGCTGCATCCTTAGCAACCAGTGACATCACTCAGATACTGCAGTCTTAGATAAATTAATTCACTGGTCAGGAATCCTCAGCCATGTAAACAAAGCAACTGGGGATAGTTATAAAAAAAAAAAAAAAACACATGGGGTTTGCCCCATAAGTCATACCAGACCTTTCAGGTTTTAGTGTGGATCCCATGCAAAAAACAATTGGTATGCAGTCTCCCAAATTATGTGGGTCCCCCAAAAAAATCATAACAGATCGTTAATCGAGCATGCAGTCTGGCAAGCCAGGTAAGGGGGGGGCAGCTTCCCCCCGTTCTCTCAAACCACATTAGACCATATGCCCTCAACATGGGGGGGGACCTTGCCAGAAGGGACCCTCCCCAAGCAAAGCACCTTGACCCCATTCTGATGAGGACAAGAGCCTCTTCCCCACAATCCTGGTCACATCGTTGTAGGGGTCTGCCGGCAGGGTGCTTACTGGAATCTGGAAGCTCCCTCTAACAATAAGGGGTACCAAAATACTGCTGTCCTATGTAAATGAGTAGCAGTACATAGTACCCCCAGTACTAGAAGTACTCGCCATGGGGTCCACTTGACATTTGTACCAGACTCTCATTAACCACTTCCGGACACTTTCACCCCCTTCTTGCCAAGGCCAATTTTCACCTTTCAGTGCTATCACACTTTGAATGACAATTGAGCGGTCATGCAACACTGTACCCATGTGAATTATTTTGCATTTATTTGAGACAGATAAAACTTTATTTTGGTGGTATTTATTCACCGCTTGGATTTTTATTTTTATTTTGCTATATAAATTAAAAAGTCCAAACATTTTGAAAAATAAGTGTTTTTCTTATACAATTTTGCAAATAAATAATCCTTCTTCATAAATCTTGGCCAAATGTATTCAGTTATCTTTTTAGTAAATAAAAAAACCCAAATTAGTTTATAACCAAAAATGATAATTTTTCAAAATAGTTTACATTTTTATTTTATTTTTTTATATTATTATTTATGTTTTTTTTTTAACAAACTGTCACCCTAGCAGTACAGTGTCACCATCGTGACACTGTACTACTTGTGGGGGGTGATGAAGATTTTTTTTTTTTTGTACACTGATTGCTTTTACAGCCTTTATGGGTGTAAAAGCAATCATTTCTCCTTTCTGTGTGAGCTGTGATTGGTCACAGCTTGTCACATGGTACAAGGCTGTTGTGAATTGCCTTGTACCATGTGATCTCTGTGATCATTCACAGATTTCACACGTAGTAAGCAATGATGTCAGAAGTGAGATCTTGCTTACTACTATTCATGTGATCACTGATTGGCCAATCAGTGATCACATGATTGGGACCTCACACTGAGGTCCCGTAAAACGATCGGTGTTCCGCTGTATCCTCCGGACACAGCGGGCACTGGATCACAATGCCGCGCACTCCCAGGGAGCGCGCACAAGCAGGGAAGCGGGGAGGAGATTTGTAAACGGCCACCTGCCCCTGCACTGCTCCCGATGGCCGTTTATATACATGGGCTGGACGGGAAGTGGTTAAGGACATTTTTTGTGGGGTTCCCCATTAACATCTATATCAGACCCTCATCTAAGAAAATGGACTGATGTAGATGAATGGAATTCCCTGGCCATGGTTTACAAACAGAAGTAAGCAGTCAAAGCTACAATTTTTTTGCAGACAATTTAGTACACTTTTAATTTTGTTATATGTAGCACACCCTTGGGCAGGGGTGGACTGACCATTTGGAAACTCGGGCACTGTCCGAGGGCCCGGGGTCAATAGGGGGCCCCATGAGATGCCCCTGGTACCTTTTTCATAGGCTTTTTTGAGTCTGGGCAAGGACACAGGGGCCCCATGATCCCCTATTGCCCGGGGGGGCCCTATGAGTTGTCAGTCCGCCCCTGCCCTTGGGTGATGCTTGGCTAGATATATAGGCTCCCACCTGAATCTGGTGACACCTACAATTATACCCAGAACACTTCGACACTCTGAGAATATTTTTTTATGAGTTTTATTGAAGAAGACAAACCCTGAAAAAGAACTAGCTGATTTAACACCGGTAATGTACATAAAACACAGATACTGTGATGAATATGGTAAAATGCCTATTTGGTTTCCTATTGAATATATATATATATATATATATATATATATATATATATATATATATATATATATATACACACACACGTTTTTCTACACATTTTTATACATATTTACTTTTATACTTTAATACTATTTCTTTCTTCATATTTATAAATGTTTAGTATGAATACATATGTTGTGTGAATATTTTCTGCCTGCTGGGCTTTGTGGTACTTTAAGAATTCCTTGCTTAAAAAAATGTCTGCTCACACGCACCGACCCCCTCCCATAGCACCGACCCCCCTCCCATCGTGCCAACTTGAGACAAAGGAATGTTTTTCTTTCTATAAGATAAGACTTGGAAGAAGATCACACCTATACCATGACGGAGATTGTTTTAGTGTGGAAAATGACCAATCAAAGACTAATATAATGCTTATGCTGTTCTCAGGTGACTTTTGCATCATTTTGCATATATAAGCTCACTTGCTCATTATAATAAACTAGAAGTGTTCATAGACTGAACTTGTGTGTCAGTGTGAGTCTCTTCCAGTGTGCGCATATTCCAAAGCTACCTAGCAAAGATTAATTAGGACAGGAGCAGATAATCAATGGACACTTTTGGTCCTTATCTAATTCAATACCACTTTGCCTAACACAGTTAGTAAGAAATCACAATTCACTGGGCAAAGACTCCAAAAACTGACTAGTATCACACTGACTAGGGTGACATTGACACATGAAACAATAACTGTTAATGAGGTTAAGCAGCTTATTGACATTTGTTATAGCAGTACTAGCTGAGCAGAAATATCCTACCTAACCACTGGCCAGTGGAATGAAACTTAAAGTCTCTCAATGTTGAGGCCCTTTAATCAATGAAAGAGTGCTCACTCTCTGCATGGGAGAGTATTTGTAATCCAGGGGTAACAGGATAGTACAGTCTCCTTTAACCACTAGATTACAGGGCACTTATACCCCCTTCCTGCCCAGGCCAATTTCCAGCTTTAAGCGCTGTCGCACTTTGAATGACAATTGCGCGGTCAAACACTGTACCCATATGAAATTTTTATCATTTTTTTGTGATAGATAGAGCTTTATTTTGGTGGTATTTAATCACCTCCTGGGTTTTTTATTTTTTCTTAAACAAACCAAAAACCACTGAAAAGTTTGAAAAAAAAAATGTTTTCTTAGTTTTTGTTATAAAATTTTGTAAATAAGTGATTTTTCTCCTTCACTGATGTGCGCTAATGAGGCTGCACTGATGGGCACTGATAGGCTGCACTGATGAGGAGGCACTGGTAGGTGGCACTGATGGGCATTGACAGGCATCACTGATGGGCACTGAAAGGCAGCACTGATACATGGCACTGATAAGCACTGACATAAGGCACTGATAAACACTGACAGGTGGCACTGCTGGGGCTGCACTGATCATCAGGGCACACTGATCATCAGTGCCCTGATGATCAGTGTACATGTCCCCTCCACGGAAAGCCGATTACCAGCTCTCCTCTTCTCTCGAGCTGTCAGTGTGACAGCTCGAGAGGAGAGAAATGCCAATAACCGGCATTTCCCTGTTTACATGTGATCAGCTATGATTGGACACAGCTGATCACATGACCGAGCCGACATCTTCAGCTCTTTCCATGATCGGTGATCCGCTGTGTCCGAGGGATACAGCGCACCGCCGATCGCCACACTGCTCGCTTCCTGAGCCGCGCATGCGCAGTGAAAATGTGAGGTGGTTAAGCAGAATCTTCCAGTGAACATTGCAATAGAAAAGAACAACACTTCAACAAAGTCTTTACCATACAGGTGAATCCTGATGTATTGACACTTGCTTAGTATATTTAAAACAGCAAGCTTCTGTGGGGATTTGGAACTAAACACATTCTTTATCCACAGCACAAGTTTTGAGGAGACAATCACCAGTAATACACAGAGACAGAGTTCTCTCATCAATCAGCAGCAGAAAATATATAATTCTGAGCAGCTTGGGCTTTCCAAGATCTGTGTCACTCTGAAAATTAGAGAGCAGGCTTTCTCATGACCATTCTCCACAGATGAACAGCAAATGCAGCAATATCAAAATCCCCTTTCATCACAGAGTACTCACTGTTTCTGGATTGTCCTCTAGATAGCATTAGGCAGTAGAAATTCTCTCTTACAGCAGCTCCAAACTTTGAGAGACACATGCACTTGATCTGTAATCCTGAGTGTCAGGCAGGACAATCCTTGATTTTGCACACTGTCCTCCTGCAACAAGTCCTCTGCTACACACCCAGCCCATGGGCTCTAGCAGCACAGACTCTGACTTTACACCAGGAGCCCTTGCTCCATGCAGTACCCTGAAAATGTCTGCCTCCCCACATGTGCTTCTTCTTCCTTTTTCATCTCTCCTTTCCTTCAAAGCCAATCATATGTCCAGCTGCAACAGTGCTATGGGTGGATCCTTCTCAGCTGTAGCAACAACCAATCAGAGCACAGTCCTGCTTTCCCTGTATGTCACTCACAAAGAGGGAAAAGAAAAAAATGCTTTGCAACTGCTGTTTAAGATTTAAAGCAACCAGCACATCTCTACACTAAAAAAAAGTGTGGGGTCCCCCCTACAATTCATACCAGACCTGTGTGGGGTCTTAAGGGGTACCCCATGCAAAAAGAAATTACATGTGGGCCTCCCAAATTCTATACCAGATCCCAAGAGTCTAGCATGGATTTTAAACCACTTCTGCGCTGCCCTATAGTAGAAATACTGCTACAGGGCAGTACGGGTGTACAACATTATATATATTGTGGGAACTCGCTTCAACTGGTAGAGCTTTTCTTGTTTAAGCACACAGCAACTCGCTTCTTTAAGGGCTTTTTTGCCCACTTTTATTTAAAGAAAGTTCAAATAACACAAATGCTTCCACGCAGAGGGGTATCCACCATCAAGAAATACCAACAAAGATTCAGCCTCCTGGCTTGTACACAGTTCACTGTCTGTCTCCTGCAGACTTCCCAAATTATGGCCACTAGCACACAGCTAGTCTGGCTTTCACCTGACTCCAAGGCAGAGACCTCCTGTCTGCCGGGGTGGAGCCCTCCTGACTCCGTCTGCCGGGGTGGAGCCCAGAATCATGGCCTGGCTTCCCCTAAAAGGCCTGCACACACCTGTGCAATCAGCACGCTGGCTGCTCCCAAAATGTGGGCCCAGGATTGGAGATTTCATCCCTCCCAAATCTCTAAGAAATCTCCAGGCTACAGGTCCCAAAACAGGCTTTACAAACCAAAGAGGAAATGGATAAACCAGTTTCCTCTGCATTATGAGATCTGCCTGGAGCCCCTCAACCTGTATAGTTGAGAATCCTGGGTGTCCATCATGATTTCCACCGTGGCAGGATACCGCACTGCCACATATCCCCCCCCTTTGTTTTGATTCCTGTAGGGGGCAGAACACACAAGCCCAAACTCTTTAATTTGGCACCTCTGTGCCAGCCTTCACCCATATGAGCCCATTCCTGACTGACCTTGCTTTCTAAGGGAAACTTTCCTTCCTGTCTTATGAAACGACTTTCCCTGTGTTCTAGTACATAGACTTGGGCCCTATAAAGACTCCGTGCCTTTTTTACGGGTACGCTTCCAAAAGCGTTGCCTCTCTATTTTCCTTGGGGCCACCCAAGTCACCTTCCCATTAAGGAACTTCCAAAACTCGGTACATTTCTGAGGATGAGGTTGACGCCTGAGTTTTAGGTGTTGGATAACATTACAGCTACGCTGCACTCTCAAACCGCCGGTTTTCCCTTTACCTTTGAAGGGGTCACGCCTTTAAACACAAAAAGTGTGTGGGCTCTTTTATTGGGGTTACCTTAGTCCCTCTCTGCATTCTATGTACATGCATCCTCTTACTGACCAAACTTAACTCTGCTTGTTTCCCCCCGTATACTGCATGCTTCCTTTTGTCACTGACATTCTCAGATGACAGCAATGTCCTACTCTCCTTCTGAAGGACAGACCGATTGTCTTGCACTTCAGAGGTTTTTATGTCAAGGGACCTCTTTAAATAATCCACTTCCTTCAAGTTTTCCGTCGGGGCAGATATGCCATTTAAAGTTTCTCTTCCCAGACTACCCTCCTGAACCTGTAGGGGGCCTAATTCAACTGCAGCTTTTAGCTCAGCTGTGTCTACCACCTCATTACCCACCACATCACATGTTTCAGGGTTATCAGCACACATGTCCACTTGACCTTCAGGTCCATCATTAGGTTTATGGTCACCCACCGAAACTACATGATCGACATTTACCAGTGCATCGCATTTTTCCTCATCATAATAAATATCAACATTTACAAGGGTCTTGCATTTTTCCTCATGGTCAGAAACATCCACACCTTTGTCAGAATTAATTTCAATGTTTGGCAGGGCAGTGTCTGGAGACCAAGTGCACACAGTGGAGTGGTTGTCTCCCATGGCAAACGTCGCTATCTACCAGCTCCACTGGCACATGAACCTCTTCCAGCAACTGTCCTGACACCTGACCATCATAACATAATTCTACATTTTGTTTACTGACCCCAATCACTTGATTTGTGCCATCTGACCCTTCCACCAACACCAGCTCATTTGGTATCGCACTATTCGATCCTTTGTGGGTTGTGGGCACGATCTCTGCTATGTGCTCCATCTCACTTGGCCCATCCATATTGGGAGGGAGACCATCTGCAGCAACAGCAAGTGTGCCCTTGTCTATAAGCTGCTCTGCAGGCCCTCCATTTAGCACAGCAGAAGTCGTGTCCACTCCACTGTTGGAAACAGAGGTCCCATTCAATAAAGCCAACAGGTTTTCAGCCCATTTCTGTCCCAGTCTACTTTCTCTGCGCTCCAATCAGAGGTACTACGCAGTGCCGCACCAACTGCCGAAGGAGACACAGGACAGAGTGGCTCAGCAGACACATCACATATATCACTTTTGTTCAAACTAAACTGTGGCACTAAATTTTTTAACCTCAACAGGTTGCAATACCACACCCTCACCACCGTACTCTGATGGCGCTTCATTCACCTCAGGAACACTTCCATACATATTGTCAGTACTGACAGACTCAGTTAACCCATTATCACCAGGAGCATTTTCAAAGATTTCAGTTTTAGCATTTAAATCATCATTTGGTTCAAGTACTCTCTTGTCCAGAGCAGCACCATAGTTGTCCCAGGTAACCTCTGGCTCCAACACACAGAGCTCCCAGGAAGTTTCCATGGACACCTTTGCAGCTTTGGATACTGTTGCCAAGGGCAACAACATATTTTTACTCATATTCACAAATCAACACTGTTATCCTTAGTGAGCTGTACTAGCCCATCACCAACCATAACATTACATTTAACAGTAACACTTTTTGTCAGCATGACCATCGGCATTCTCATTGCATATAGACATGACTGTGGTTTTTGCAGGTAATCCCTGGCTATTACCCAGCTGAGCAGCCTGTAAGCCATGCCTCACAGCACTCTCTCTCTTTAAAGAGACACTATATTCAGTTTTATCAGCTCCATAGCTGACCTGGGAAATCCTCTGCTCCGTCACTGCGGGCTCCTGGGAGGTTTCCCTGGGCATCTCTGCAGCACCTGTCACTAGGGAACACGGTGCCATGACAGGTTTGGTCACCCCTAGTCTAACTTCACCAGCCATCTGCTGGATTATAGCAGGCACATGCAGAGTCCCCATGTCCTTTTCCATATATTTAGTCCTGCTAATCGTTGGGCTGTTCCCTGTGCCTCCCCACTACTCAGGGTAGCACACAGCAGCCAGTCCATGTCCATCTGTATTGTGGAACTCCCTGAAGGACACACCCTCACTTCCTTGGACTCAGTCCCACAACCTGAAACAGTCTTACCATTTCCTGAAGCAGGTGTCATAGCCTTCACTTGAGCACGTAGTCTCTCCTCTGTGGTGTCTCCACAGACGGATTTCCCCATGTGGTCACGGGGGGGCAACACTGCAGCCATTCCGGACCAACTTGCACCCCCTGCAGGTAACACCAGATCCTGTTGCTAGGGGTAGCTGCCAACATTTCTAAACACGAATCTGGGCTTGCAGATGAAGACTTTTGCCCAGTAGCCCTCAATGGTATTCCAAACTCTGGGGCAGGTAAAGATACCATGCCCAAACTGACCACATTCCAGGCAGGGTATGGTTCCACCGATAACCTTCTTAGGATACGGAACCACATCTCCCTTGTAGCCCCTTCTCCTGGTTGGCAGGCTCTCTCCTGTTGCTATGGGAGATGGCACTCTCCCAGCTGAACTTTGTGGGTTCCTCCAGATGCGCTGAACTCGCATCTCTGCGTTGCCACAATCCTCTGCAGACGACACTTCTCTCACAGGGTCCGCAGGCCTGAAGTCACATGTGTTGCTATGGGCAACCACATTCTTCTCAAACTTGTGGTCAGGCTGTCGCTCCTTCCTTGCACTCAGAGCCGGCTTGCCTAACACAGACGCAGTCCTTTGCTTTGATATGCAACTTTGCAATGGAGGCTGAGACAAAGGGCATTTAGAGACAGTGTGCCCCCACTCCCTGCACCGCAAGCATCGCTCTTGCCAGCGTGTCTTGTCCAGGCTCCCCACATTGCAGCCTTTTTCCAGCTTAGGACTCTGCACATTCATAGCTGGTCTCCTTTCACCAGTGTTGCCAGCAGCAATAACATGCACTTCCCACTTTGGCAAACTTTGTTCATCCATGTATGGGGCTTGTTCTGGGGATAACAACCCCTCCAGCCACAGGGCTCGGTCTCTCATATCAGCAAATCTTGCTTCTTTTCTTTGCTTTGACCACCCCATCTTCACAGTCACTTCACAACACTTTTGCACAGTCCAACAACCAAGAAATGAAGCACTGTCTCTTTAAGGCAGGTTCTCCTCACCTGCACACACAAATTGTGCTGTCCAATGCACATAAACACAGTTCATATAACTGATGAACTTACTTCTTTTGCAGGGATCTCCAGTTCTGCCCGCATCCTCCACCATATGTGGGAACTCGCTTCAACTGGTAGAGCTTTTCTTGTTTAAGCACACAGCAACTCGCTTCTTTAAGGGCTTTTTTGCCCACTTTTATTTAAAGAAAGTTCAAATAACACAAATGCTTCCCACGCAGGGGGGTATCCACCATCAAGAAATACCAACAAAGATTCAGCCTCCTGGCTTGTACACAGTTCACTGTATGTTTCCTGCAGACTCTTCCCAAATTATGGCCACTAGCACACAGCTAGTCTGGCTTTCACCTGACTCCAAGGCAGAGACCTCCTGTCTGCCGGGGTGGAGCCCTCCTGACTCCGTCTGCCGGGGTGGAGCCCAGAATCATGGCCTGGCTTCCCCTAAAAGGCCTGCACACACCTGTGCAATCAGCACGCTGGCTGCTCCCAAAATGTGGGCCCAGGATTGGAGATTTCATCCCTCCCAAATCTCTAAGAAATCTCCAGGCTACAGGTCCCAAAACAGGCTTTACAAACCAAAGAGGAAATGGATAAACCAGTTTCCTCTGCATTATGAGATCTGCCTGGAGCCCCTCAACCTGTATAGTTGAGAATCCTGGTGTCCATCATGATTTCCACCGTGGCAGGATACCGCACTGCCACATAATATATATATATGATTTGCGCTCCTGCGGTTTTCACAGGCAAGGTGGAACGCTTGCGTGCCCCTGCCAACCCGCGGGTGCTGTGATTTGATCCTCGAGGGATCAATCATCTGATTTAGGCCTGTGATGGTCGGCCTAAGTCGGATGATCGATCCCTGTCCTGTCAGGGATCTTCCTGTACCTGTGTTTACAGTTACAAAGGTAAAGGAAATGATGACATCTCTCTCTGGGAACATTCCGTCCCAGATACAGAAGAAACAAGACACATGTGAGTAAAACAGCACACTTTTCACAGTTAGAACACTTTAACCCCTTGATTCCCCCCCCCCCCCAGTTAATCCCTTTACTGCCCTGTCACCAGTGTCATTAGTACAGTGTACATATTTTTTTTGCTGATCACTGCATTAGTGTCGCCGGCGACTTCAGATAGTGTTAGCGTCAGTTAGCGCCCCTTCTAGATAGCATCAGTAAACCAGTAATCACATTTAACCTCTTGATTGCCAGGAACACACTCACACATACAATAAACCTCCATTGTTAGTATAGTGTCTGAACGGATCAATATCTTTGATCAGATCAGTGCTATACCCCAAAAATGCAGCGTTAGTGGGATCAGCACAGGCACCTGCCAACATTTGCGTTTAGCCCCTACACTTACCCCCCTTCCCCCCAGCAAGTGCAGTGTCAGTAGGTCACTGTCATTTGATAAAGTGCACACAAAGCCGCAGTGTTCGCACAATCAGGCCTGATCTTTGATATCACTTGTCGGTAAATTTTTTCGAAGCAGTTCAAGCAGTCCCTGACAGCTAGGTGCTCTTTTACCCATGAGTCACACTAGGTAGCTAAAAATTTAGTGGCCAAAATTTCAATGGAAAGGTACTCTAGTGAAGAGGCCTACAGGATTAGGAGCATGTCAGATGAGAGCGAAGGGGAAGCCTCACTGACACAATCAGCCTCAGAATACAAACCTGTAGACAGCAGCAGCAGCACCCCTGACAGATAGCTGAGACGATGGAGAAGAGGTCCCTGCTAAGGTCAGGCATACCCGACCCCGTTCCCAGATTGCTGAGATGTTACAAAAATGCATAATGACTCTCATATGCATCAGAGTGTCAGTACTAGTGCCGCTCTAACTTTTGTTGAACTGGTGAGCACCAGCGGCCTAGTACATCCTGATCTTTCACATACCAGCACTGCAGTATCACTTGGTGACATGGAGAGTCCCATGAGTGCAGTACAAGCTGATGCGGGTGGTGAGCACAAGTAGTGTTCTACAGCCACCACAAATTGTCAAACAGGCATATAAAGACCCTAGTATCCTTCTGGATGTTCTTGCAAATCTTGATTGGCAGCCCACAAATTCTGCAGCACCCGTACTTCCCCCATTCACTGCCCAACCCGGAATTCAGGTGGAAACAGCAAATTTAAAATACTTCCCTTGATTTTTTGGAGCCGTTTTTCACAAAAGATCTGTATGCATTGATTGTGGATCAAAGCAATTATTATGCACAACAGTTTATCGCCACCAACCCAAATTCAAACCTTGCCAGACCATTTGCATGGAAACCCATTACGGTTTTCTGAATTTAACTTTTTTTGGGTCTAACCCTCAACATGGGCATTACTTAAAAAAATGAATTGCAGTTGTATGGGGCCACAGACCTGATTCATCATATGTGTTCTCTGCTGTCATGGCTAGGCATAGATATGAGAGTATAATGCGTTTTATGCATTTCATCAACACACTGTCGTCCTTGGGGTGACCCTGAATTTGACTGGCTCCAAAAATTCGGCCCCTCGTAAATCACCTTAACAAAAAATTTGCAGATGTCTATACTCCCCAGCAAAAAATCTGCGTTGAGTCCCTCATTAATTTTTCTAGCTGCCTTAAATTCAAACAATTTCTCCCCAGCAAGCGTGCTAGATATGGGGGTCAAGATGTAGAAGACCTGTGAGAGGGCAACAGGCTATACATTGAAGGAAATAAGTATTTTATCCCCTGCTGATTTTGAATGTTTGCCCACTCACAAAGAAATGATCAGTCTAAAAACTGAATGGTAGGTGTATTATAACACAGACAGAATAGCAACAAACAATTCAAAAGAAATGCATGTCTAACAAATTATGCACTGCTTTACATGTTCTTGAGGGAAATAAGTATTTGATCCCCTTCACAAAACATGACTTAGTACTTGGTGGTAAATCCTGTGTTGGAAATCAGAGGTCAGATGTCTCTTGTAGTTGGCCACCAGGTTTGCACACATCTCAAGAGGGATTTTGGCCCACTCCTCTTGGCAGATCCTCTGCAAGATATAACGGTACATTGCCCTGTCCATCGTCCCTTTGATGCGGTGCAGTTGTCCTGTCCTCTTAGCAGGACAGCTCTTTGGTCTTTGCCATGGTGGAGAGTTTGGAATCTGATTGTTTGATTGCTCTTGTGGACAGGTGGCTTTTATACAGGTAACAAAATGAGATTAGCAGTGTGACGATCGCGGCGTCAGACCCCCAGCCTTTCTCACCAACTCGTGACCGAAGGACTAGCCAATCTAAAACCGCACTGTCACATGCGTAACAATGCCACGCTCAGCTGCACCCTGCACAAAGATTTTCCAGCTAATGGACCACAATCTATGTACCTGCAGCCTGAGAGCGATTGTTACTGGGTCAGGTTAATTATGCAATTAACCCTTCACACTGCCACCACCACCTTTTTCTGTAGAGCAAAGGAGGAAACTCGCCAATATTAGCAATAACACTATGATGTTTGAATAATCGTCTGTATATCACAATCACCGCAGGCAGAGGTATATAGAGGTTTAAAAACACACAGTAGCACTCTTCAGAGACAGGGTTTCTTAGTTTGCATTAAAGAGCTTTAGAAACAGTTCAACACTTTTCAGAAAATAAGATTTATTATTAAAAATGTCAAAATGGTGCAATAAACGTAGTTACAGAAAAAGATGTAGCCTATATATATATATATATACAGTTGCAAGAAAAAGTATGTGAACCCCTTGGGATTACGTGGAGTTTTGCATGAATTGGACATAAAATGTGCTCTGAACGTCATCTAAGTCACAACAATAGACGAACACAGTCTGCTGAACATAATACTACACAAACATTAGACGTTGCCATGGTTTAATCGCACATAACATGTAAACATTCACAGTGCAGGGAGGAAAAAGTATGTGAGGCCCTAGCTTAATGACTTCTCCCAGAGCTAATTGGAGCCAGGAGTGAGCCAACCTTGACTCCAATCAGTGTGATATTGGATGTGTTGCTGACAGCTGTCCTGCCCTTAAAAAACACACACCTGTTTTGGATTTACTGGTTTCAAGAAGCACTGTCTGATGTGAACCATGCCTCTCAGAAAAGAGCTCTCAGAAGACCCACGATCAAGAATTGTTGACTTGCATGAAGCTGGAAAGGGTTACAAAAGTATCTCCAAAAGCCTTGATGTTCATGTGTCCACGGTAAGACAGACTGTCTACAAATGGAGAAAGTTTAGCACTGTTGCTACTCTCCCTAGGCGTGGTCGTCCTGTAAAAATGACTGCAAGAGCACAGCGCAGAATTCTGCATGAGGTAAAGAAGAATCCCAGAGTGTCAGCTAAAGACCTACAGAAATCTCTGGCACATGCTAACATTTTTGTTGACACATCTACAATAAGGAAAACATTAAACAAGAATGGAGTACATGGGAGGACACCACGGAGGAAGCCATTGCTGTCCAAAAAGAATATTGCAGCACGTTTGAAGTTTGCAAAAGAGCACCTGGATGTTCCACAGCACTACTGGCAAAATATACTGTGGACAGATGAAACCAAAATTGAGTTGTTTGGAAAGAACACACAACACTGTGTGGAGAAAAAAGGCACAGCACACCAACATCAAAACCTCATCCCCACTGTAAAACATGGCAGAGGGAGCATCATGGTTTGGGGCTGCTTTGCTGCCTCAGGGCCTGGACGGATTGTTGTCATTGATGGGAAAATGAATTCCAGAGTTTATCAAGACATTTTGCAGGAAAACGTACGACCATCTGTCCGCCAACTGAAGCTCCGCAGAGGATGGGTGATGCAACAGGACAATGACCCAAAGCATAGAAGTAATTCAACAAAACAATGGCTGCAACAGCACAGAATACACCTTCTGGAGTGGCCCAGTCAGAGTCCTGACCTCAACCCGATTGAAATGCTGTGGCATGACCTTAAGAGAGCGATTCACACCAGACATCCCAAGAATATTACTACATTGAAACAGTTTTGTGAAGAGGAGGGGTCCAAAATTACTCAAGATCGTTGTGCAGGTCTGATCTGCAACTACAGGAAACGTTTGGTTGAGGTTATTGCTGCCAAAGGAGAGTCAACCAGTTATTAAGTCCAAAGGTTCACATACATTTTCCTCCCTGCACTGTGAATGTTTACATGTTATGTGCAATTAAACCATGGCAACATCTAATGTTTGTGTATTATTATGTTCAGCAGACTGTGTTCTTCTATTGTTGTGACTTAGATGACGTTCAGAGCACATTTTACGCCCAATTCATTCAAAACTCCACACAATCCCAAGGAGTTCACATACTTTTTCTTGCAACTGTATATATATATATATATATATATATATATATATATATATATATAGAGAGAGAGAGAGAGAGAGAGAGAGAGCAATAACACGGCAAAGAGATAACAGAAAGAAGTTTAGAGAGGTAGAGTACTTGCTAAATGTCCTGGGTTAAGCAGATCAAGTTTCAGAGCAGAAGGGTACTGTCTTCCAAGTTGGTTCTGATGTTAAAAGGGAGAATTCTTCAACTTACTGTTCCAAGCACAACAGCCTTTTTCTAGGAACTCAGCAGAGTGTATCCTTAAAGCAGAGAACTAATTGCCTCATTTGGGGAGGGGTGTTGTAGGCAGGGATCTCAGGCTATGA